GAGATGAAAGACATATATACGAGTTCTCAGTAACAATTTTTTTCTTTTTAAGAAAAAAACAACAGTAAAGGAGATCAAGGAGGAAAAAGGAAATAAAATGAGACCATGGCTCGAATAAGTCCCGTTCAAGTGCAGTGAACACTTTCCTTCGGCCGAGAGCCCCTCGCAGTCAATAAACGAAGGGAAGGAGGGTCTGAGGAGCTGCTCGGGTCTGAACAGCTCCAAAACTCGAACAGAGGAGATAACTCATGTGCCAGTTCTGTGAGGAATTGCATTCACTAGCTAAGGTCCTCCTATCCTACCCACTCGGAAAGCAGCGGTGATGCTCGTTTATTTTTTTTTTTTTCTATAATTTTATTTCTTGGAGTTCTAGTTCATTTCTCCATTGAGAGAGTTGACTGGTTAAGTACCAAAGGACAAATTTAGAGTACATGTCAACCAAACAGTTGGACCTACACCTCCCTTCCTGTGTTTGCACAGAGGGGAAAAGCAAATGATGGGGAAATAATAATAATAATATAAAATAATAATAAAAAGAATAACATGCTAAGAAATAGTAAATGTAGAGCTGGGAGAAACTGAAATGCATCTGGGAACATTCACTATCTTCCTCCTCTCACTGTAGTCCGTGATCAAAAAAAATTATATTAATTGATGAGTTTCCACAGAGGGTCCTAAGCAATGCACCTGCGATCTTAAAGGAAGCTTCCTGCATAGTTTGTCCTTACAAAGGTAATGCTTCCAATTCAAGGTTTTGAACACAAAGATGCGTTGCTGCAGTGTCCATCAGCTGTAAGAGGTCACTCAGTGAAATGTCAGGTCCTTCAGTGCTACCCAGGCAGACATCCCAGGGGCACTGCACAGAGGGGCAGCTGGAGGCAATGTGCCACAGCACAGCATGCCAGCTTCTGGCTCCTGTGCTGCCTAATCCTACACCAAAGTTGTCCTGTGCTGATGCCTGACTCGATCAAATCTGTGCTGCCAAAGAACCTGATAGTGCCACACCAGCAGTAATTCAGGAGAGAGACACACCTGCCTGATAATGGGCATTCTGGAGGGTTACATCAACAGCGCTCTGAGTCAAGGGCATTGCAGAGAATCTCTGCCAGGTGAGAAAGCAAGGATACACAAAGGCATTGTAATACTTGGTGCAGTGTTGCATTAAAGGAGGATTTCACCTCAGGAAAAGTGTTTCCCAAGCGAGAGAAAAGTGTTTAGAAAAGAATAAAAAAATGCAGCTGAAATTTTGAAGAGTATATTCAAGAAAAAAGAAATTAAATTCATTGTGTCCAAGGAGTGAAGAGATAACTACAGGTAAAATTCAGCATCCCGACTCAGATGTTGTGGCACTTGAAATGACAGAAATAGGTGGGGAAACACAGTGATGCCATAAGGCTGATGCTGCTCACCATTATCTTTTGACAACATTATGTGCAACGTGGCACTGTTAAATTTTACCTAGTTCCAGTAGAGAATACACATTACATCCAGAAAGGGCAGAGGAGAGGAGGAATATTAGACAGTGCTAATTATAAGGGGGCTTCAGTACATTGTGTTTGATTCTGTTAAATTGTAACAATCCTCCCTCCCATTCCTCCTTCTTCCAGCTTTGGGATACCACAAGTTATGGGGATTTTCAAAGAATCTTGCTTTCACTTTCTTAAACATCATGAGCTGAAAGCATGGAAGAGGTAATGAAAATAATGAGACAAACAAAGCAGAGTGAACATTTGCACTTTCATCTTCAAGTGCATTTCAAGACCCTGTCAAAATGTGTCTGCTGTCTCGTGCAGAGCAGGCCTCGGTGTGTTGCTGTCCTGGCCAACATGAGGGAGTGCAGGTGTGAGTGCTTCGCTTCTCCTTGTCCTCATGACTTGGAAAGGCACACAAGCTCATAAACACTTCAATTTTTTTTCCCAGCAAACTTACTGCATGAGACAGGCATGTATTTCCTCTTGTGGATCTTCCAACAGACAAAAACTAGAGACTGTGAAAAATAATATCTGACATGTAATATCTGACTAATTTCAGCAGTGTTCTGCTAGGAAGAAAGAAATTCAGTAAGAA